AAAATAAAGCTGGGGGCAGTCCAGGCCAGGCCGACTCTAATACCTGTCAGCATACATGCGGTTCAGGTCTGGGCCAGTCTGCAACACCTGATGGCAAGTGCAAGAGTCAAGACAAGGTGCAGGACAGGCCCAGTCCAGACCCAATACCAGCCAGTTCACACTGGGGCCAAGGCTAGGGTTGGCCAAGCTGGGCTATGCTGCAGCATCCTCTAGCATGAGCAGGGACTGGAGGGCAGGCCAGGAAGAGCCAGGCTGCAGCACATGCCAGCAAAGCCAAAGTGAGACAGGTCATACCAGATTGGACCACAGCACCCACTAGCACATGCAAGATCTCAGACCAGGAATGACCCTAGTGAGGGATTATGGGAGCTCCCCGGCTGGGCCACTGCTCCTACTAGTGAGCATGAGAGCTGACACTAGGGGCAAACTAGGTTGGGCAGGGCTGCAACACTGTCAGCCTGCATGCAAGCTGGGTTTGGGGGAAGGCCAGGCTAAGCCAGCCACTGCATCCACTAGTGCCTGCAAGAGCCAGGTTAAGTGCCAACTGACCAGGCTTTGCCACAGCATCCATGAACAAGTGCTGGAACAGGGTACAAGCTGTGTTAGACTGGACCACAGCACCCCCCGGAAACTGCAAAATCCAGGACTGGAAGTGGGCCTCGTAGGGAGACTACAGGCACTCCTCTACCTGACTGAAGCTCCTGCTGGAGAATAGGAATCAGGACTGGGACAGAATAGGCTGGACAAGGTAGCAGCACCCATCAGCATACATGTGGATTGGGTCATGGGGTGGGTGGGCTGAGCTAAGCTGTAACACCCATAGGTATCCCTGGGGCTAGGGTTAGGCCTGGGGGCGGGTCCTCCCCCAACTAGGCTACAATTTTTGCTGGTATGTCAGGTCTGTGGCATGCTTGGCCGGGTTAGGCCAAAGCACCCATAAGTGTGCACAGGAAGGGCCTGATGCAGTGGCCTAGTAGCTAAAGTCCTCACTTTGAATGCACTGGGATCCCATATGGGAGCCGGTTCTAATCCTAGCAGCCCCACTTCTCATCCAGCTCCCTGCTTGTGGCCTGGAAAAGCAGTCAAGGACGGCCCAAAGCCTTGGGACCCCGCACCCTCATGGGAGACCTGGAGGAGGTTCCTGGCTCCTGGCTTCAGATGGGCGTAGCACTGGCTGTTGTGGTCACTTAGGGAGTGAATCATTGGACGGAAGATCCTCTTCTCTGTCTCTCCTCCTCTCTGTGTATCTGACTTTCCAATAAAAATATATAAATCATAAACAAAGAAAAGAAAAAGAAAAAAGTTTGCATAGGACATGGGGCTGGGGACTGAACTAACCAGGCAACTATAATTAACAGTGTACGCATAGGCTGATGTGGGTGATGGACTGAACTGGCTCCTGTACTGGCTGGCACAGGCCAGAGTCAGCTCTTGCATCACCCCAGGTGAGGGTTATTTGGGGACTCCCCAACTGGACCACTGTACTCCAGGATCCAGTCACCAGGAGGATCACACAATTTGTGGTCTGACCTTGGACTACAGGCACATGTTGGGACTGGTCCTCCTTGATTGCTGATGCCTTATGCAGTGCATGGTATGCCCAGGTGCATGTGGGGGACAAGACGGTCAGCTCATTTAGCCCTGCAGAGGCTGCTGAGTGCCTTGTCAGAAGATGAAGCACAGACCAGGTTGGACAACTGTCCTGGGTAAGCTTTGGCACTAAGTGTCTAGGTGAGTTGATGCACAGGGTTGGACTGTCAGCCAATGGATCTTGGAAGGATTTTCTCAACCCTGAGTCAACAAGACCAATGGTGTCCCACCAATGGTGTCCCAGAACTATCAAAATCACTAAAGTGATACCCTTGGGTATTTTTCTCTACATCAGGGTTTCTAAGATGACATCAAGTGGATATCCCCGTCTCTGAGTCTGATGGAGTTTGGCAGCTGGGAGTGACCTTCTCCTTCTCCTGCCCCCTTACAGAAGAAAAGGAAAGTTGTAAGTATTTGTCCCACCTACCTTCCCACTCTAGGTCATGCTTTGACCTTTCCCACTCTAAGCAGTGGTCCTTATGGGCAAGCATCCTTGTCAACTATACAAACATCAAAAATAAAATTATTTTAAAAAAACATTAAACTCTGATAACAATTAAGAGTTGTAAAAACCCAATGCTTTTAGGGAGCAGCAATTTAGAATGTCCATGAACAAACAAGAATATACAACTATTCATAGGGGTGAGGAGGAGAAAAATCAATGTAAAACATCCCTTAGGAAGCTGACTTCAACAAGCAGATGAAGACATTAACACACCTGTCTTAAATTCTGAATGCACTGCAGGAAACCAGGCCCACCAGAAGCAGTCAGGAGGAAAAAGAAATGTGAGCTGCAGGGTCCACCCATAAAGAAGCAGAATTTACACAAAAGAACCATATTCTGGAGCAGTAAAGCACAATGGCTGGAATGAAATGCTCATAAAAGACGCCAAGCAGAAGATGTGAAAGCAGACAGGACCCATGCACTTCAATACTAAAAGTGTCTATTGTGAGCAGAAAGGAGAGCAGATTGAGGCTCACGACCCACCAGACACAAAATGGAGAAGGGAGGAAGCAAATTCAACCAAAGATAAATATACACATTTAGGAAGATCAACAAACACAAGCAGGGAAGTCAAGTGACACACAAGACACCTTGCGACCAAATGATCATAATCATAGATGGCACCAAGAGAACAGTCACAGATCAGCAGTGTCCATGGGTGTCTGTGAAGTCCATTAAAGAACCAGACCTAGTAATGAAAGGCAGCTCAGATCATAAAAGATTCCCTAGATGCAAATTCTGAAATGATTACCTTCATGCCAAGGTGACATTAAAATGTAGATCATGGTGGCAACACAAATAATGTGATAGAAGCGGAGTGCTCTTGCTTTTACCTTCCTGCAGATAACCCCAATGAGTGCTCAGGAAGCAGAGGGAGCTTTCACATACTGGCTCTGGACACTTTGCCCCAGCAGTAAAACAAAGGAACCTTCTCCCAAGTCACCTTTCTGGAATGAATACCTACTGCATTTTGCTCAGCCTTCAGCCTGGAGTTGCTGAGCTCCAACAGTCCTTGTCTTCACAAACACCATAAGAAGTGTGAGGTAAGCAACAGGGACAGGCTGATGGGCATCTCCAGTCACCTCCAGTCCAGGGACAGGCCTTGCCCACCATCACACAGCTCACCCCCCTGAGATCTATGTCCATCAACATGGGACATTACTTTTTCTTGATTGTGTGTATGGAGTTCCTCTGCCACCTCATGGTCAAACCCAAGGACTCCTTTCCTGAGTTGCTGGAATTCAAGAAGGAAGCACTGATTGGGCCTGAGCACCGGACAAGTGTCTGCCCCAGACCCAGCTTCAGGCCAGTAAGCAGGGCATCTAATTGGACACCTGCAGGAGCCTCCCACTGTGAAGCACATGTATGAAGGAGGAGCACTCTTGGATATGAGTGTCCTCATGGGAGCTGACCAAGTACACAAATGTCCTGTTGTTAAATTGAAGGAATGGGCCTGGCGCGGTGGCGCAAGTGGTTAAGTCCTCGCCTTGCACGCCCGGGATCCCATATGGGCGCCGGTTCTAATCCCGGCAGCCCCGCTTCCCTTCCAGCTCCCTGCCTGTGGCCTGGGAAAGCAGTCGAGGACGGCCCAAAGCTTTGGGAGCCTGCACCCGCGTGGGAGACCCAGAAGAGGCTCCTGGCTTCGGATCGGCATAGTATCGGCCCGTTGCGCTCACTTGGGGAGTGAATCATCGGACGGAAGATCTTCCTCTCTGTCTCTCCTCTCTGTATATCCGCCTTTCCAATGAAAAAAAATAATAAAAATAAATCTTTAAATTGAAGGAATCGCCAAAGGTTCACAGAGATTAGTACTTTAGAGACAAAATTATGAATTTTATTTCTTAGGGTCAACACAGTGTGCACAGGCTAATCCTCTATGGGTGCTGGTTCATGCCCCAGCGGCTCCACCTCAAATTCAGCTCCCTTGTGACCTAGGAAAGCAACAGAGGACGCTTCAGGTCCTTGGGCCCCTGCACCCATGTGAGAGATCTGGGTGCAGTTCCTGGCTTCAGCCTAGCCTAGTCCTAACCATTGTGCCCACTTGAGGAAAGTCAGGATGAGCCAGAGAGAGAAGCAATCTTTCAGCCCACTGGTTCACTTCCCAAATGGCCACAATAGCTGAGACTGGGCCAGGCCCTCCATCCATGTCTCCCATGTGGAAGGCCCAAATACTTGGGCCTTTTTCTGTGGCCTTTCTTAGGCCACTAGCAGGGAGCTGGGAGACCAGAAGCAGAGCAGCCAAGACTTGAACTTGCACCTCTGAGATGCTGACATTCCACGTAGTGGCTTCACTTGCTATACCACAACACTGGACCCTCAGGTAGCTCTTTTTGAACTGACAGCACACCCTTATCAGAATTTTATTTAGATAAGGTATAACAACTTAATACAAGTTCATTTTCACACAATTAAAAATGAAAACACAGAAATCTAGTTTCTTCATACTATACATTTTTGGTTGAAGTCTTTGAAGGCTGCTTTGCAGGTTTTCCATTGGACAATTTGGGGACATTTTGAATACCAAGATAAATGGATACAGTAACAATAAAAGTGTTGAACAGGACATGCTGAGTTTGTGCTGATTAAACTGAATAAAGCAAAGATATACTGAGAGTGAGACATTCACAGAGCATGCTGATCAGAGAGGCAATCTTCCCTGCTCTATGCAGGCCCAAGGCAGGCCCTGCCTGTGGCCAGTGATTCCCACACGGATGTTAATCAGCTCTGGTCCCTCTGCACTGACAGGAACCAGGGTCATGAGTCACACTGACCCATGCTGCTCAGCCAGGTCCTATAGCCTGACCCCAGTGAGCCCGGCAGCCCTGCAGGAGGTGGGATGCCTGTGGAGGTGGCTGCTCCTGAGGTGCTGGGCCTTTGGGTCTCAGCTGCCTGGTCCTTACAAGCCAAGACCAGGTCTGTTGCACATTTGGGAGATTTTACAAAATAAACCCTAGCCAGGGGCCCAACAGGCAGGCCTGTTACTCCCCAGCAGACACAGCAGCCCTGGTCCCAGGGTCACCAAGAAGCCCCTGGGAACTGTCAGTGCTAGATTGCAATGCCATTTTTTAATAAATATTATATACTTGAGAGTTAGAGCTACAGAGAGATCTTCCACCTGCTGGTTCACTCACCCAAATGGTCTCAACAGTCAGAGCTAGGCTTTTCTGAAGCCAGAAGCCTGCAGCTTCTCCTGGGTCTCCCACATGGGTACAACTTGGGCCATCTTCTGCTGCTTTCTCAGAGCATTATCAGGGAGCTGGATGAGACAAGAACCAGCACCCTCACAGGATACTGACGCCACAGCGCTGGTCCTAAGATACTGTTCCACGTTGGGCAGGATCTGTGACATTACAGGCATTTGCTTATTTTATTACACACTGAGGAAAAGCAGGGAGTCACATTCAGTCACATGAACAAGCAGAAGCTTTGCCACGGCCAGCCCAGCTCTGGCAGGTCAAAGGGGCAGAGCCAGGGCTTCAGCCTGTCCCACTTAGGCTGCTGCCTCCTCCCTTCACTGCCAGGTCTGGTACTGAGTCCAGGTTGTTACCTGCTGAGCCAACAGGTAACTCTTGGGGACAGCGGTTGGCACAGGGCTTGGGCCTCTTCTTTCTTGCCTGCTTTGTCAGCTTAGCTGCTGGCTCTTGTCCTGAGTGAGCCATACCCTGTCCTTTCTCTTCCTCTGTTTGTACTCGGTGATTTGCTTGTTGAGTGCCTCATGATCGATGCCACAGAGATTCCAAGGCACGGTGGGAGCAGGGGTATCGCGGTGGGATGGGGAGTCAGAGTCCCTGGGAAGGAAGAGGAGGGGCCTTGGTAAGCAGCATGAGCCAAGCCCACCACTGCAGCAACTCCCCTGTCCTCTGTGTACCCGTCAGAGATCTCCTAGGTGCCTATAGCAAGAGCAAGAGCCAGCAGTGAGCCTCCCAGATTCTGGTCGTGGCCTGTTCTGTCCTCACTAAACACTTTTCCTAACTGTGGTTGATTGCCCCGGGTCTCTGTCAGGTACCTGGTGGGAGTGCCTTACTGCCTACCTGCACATGACCTGAGGCACAGCTTCCAGCCCTGCATGTGGAACATGACCTCTGATATGACGGCAGGGTCAAGGCAAATAGATATGCCTTCTAGCCACTTAAAGTGTCATTGTTGGGCAGAGTAGGGGGGAGGGAGAGGGGACTGTCGGAAGACACTCTCCTGCCCTTCCCTTCCTTAACTTTTATAAACTTGGAATTTGTACTTAACAGACAACCCTCACCAGTTTGTTTCTGGTGAGAACACTGTCAGTGGCCTCAGGGCCTGCTGGCAGGTTTCCCTGAGCCCTAACAGCAAGTTTATTGAGTTCACGTATTTAAGAAGCAAAGAGACACACAGAGAGCCAAGCACATAGAAAGAGACTTTCTGTTCACTGGCACACTCCCTAAAAACAGCCAGCAACAAACAAGAGTGGGCCAGGGTGAAGCCAGAAGCTGAAAACTCAACTTGGCTCTCCTAGGGGGGCAGCAGGGATCCCAGGCACACATTTGCAGGAAGCTGAATAGGGACCATAGGAGACTTAACCCAGGTGCTCCAACATGGGATGTCTGAGTCCCAGGCCACGAACCCAGGACACCCCAACAGCGGACGTGTGTGCCCCTGCCCATAAACCGAGGGCTCCAACAGGGGACATATATGCCCCAGTCCATGAACCCAGGCCCCAATGTGGATTGTACACCCCCATCCAGGAACCCAGAGCCCCAACGGGGTACATATGTGCCCATCCATGAACCCAGGGCCCCAACGTGGGAAGTGTGCATCCCAGTCCACATTTCTGCTGCTGCTGTGTCAGGCACCCACTCTGTCACCTGCTTGAGTCAGGCCTGGACAGTGCCTTAGGCAGGTGGGGCTGTGAGGAATGTTATTCAGTTCATGTTAGAAAACAACAAGCAGCGTGCCGCCCCACCGCCAACCCTGCCTCTGTAGCTCTCTGCCCGGAAAGACCTCCAAGCCCGAATCAGCCCTCTCCACTTGGCTTTACACCCCCTCTTGGTGGTACTGTTCTCTGGCACAGCAGGTGGTAAAGCCACATGCTTTAGGGTTAGCCCTCAGGTCCTGAAAAGTGCCCAGGCTGTGGAGGCTGTGCCTGCTCTGGCTACCACAGGCTAAGATGCGAACCTCCACAAACACCTGTGTCCTATTGTCATGCCTTGTTAGTGCCTCAGAGGTTCACCCTGTGCTACAGCACGCTCCTAAGCCCAACTGATCCCTGATCAGCTCCAAACCCAGAAATACTCTCCTGCCTTCACAGACCCATTCCAAGTGCCACAGCAGAGCTGGGAACAGGAAGCCTCACAGAAGCCATGGAGGCACATGGAATAAATAATGACACTTGCTGTTGTGACAACACAGGCTACTGTGCAGATGCATGCCAACCCAGCGATAACACGTCTGCTGTGTGCAGAAGCATATCAGGTCCAGGGAGATCATGGGCTGCTGCATGTGGGTACACATCACGCCCAGGGAGAACACAGGCTTCTGCCTGCCATGCCTGCAGGGCCCAGAGGCAGGGAAGAGACTGCCAGGAGACAGAACCATGCAACTGCCCAGGAGAGAACAATGTCCTTGTGAGCTACCTGAGATCCTCGTGCATGGCGTCATCTCGTCTACCTGCAGATCCAAAGTCGGCCACTGCTAGCAGCTCATCAACCTGAAAAGGAACCAAGAGTGAAGCAACCATGGCTCCTCCCCAGCCCACGGATTCACAGGCTCCAGCACGTGCCCTCACAGCTCCCCACAAGAGTTGGGATGCTTAACCCAATCCAAGCCCTTGTCGATCACTAGACTGCCCTTTAACCACATTTGAGCCCAGAACTCTAGCCAGGTCTTCCACAGTGGTGAGCCATCACCTGCCACCTGGGACCTCCAAGGGTGCACCATCAGCAGGAAGCTTGAATTGGGAGCAGAGCCAGGATGCAAACCCAATCTATGATGGCATCCTAAGGCTGCACTCACGGCCTCTCCAACACTTGTTTCATCAGTCTTACCTGGGCCAGGACCGCACTCTTTTTGTCTTGAATGAACACGATTGGAGGGACATTCTGCAGGGTCTGATGGGCCAGTAGAAGATGCCTGAAGGGACACAACACACACATCACCATGACACGCACAGGCAGATGCCCAGTACCTCTGTACACAAGCCTCACAAATAGGCCAAAGGTCAAAGTGTTCACCTGTGGACGTCTCTAGAGCAGAGAACAATGCATCACAAGCATTTCACTCTCTCCATGTCTCTCCCAGAGCCTGGCCATGACCTCAGGCTCCAGGGCCAGACACTAAGAGCTGCCCTCTGCTCCACAGCCCTTAAAAGCCCAGAGACAGTTACATCCAACACCACTCACAGCATAGCACAGAGGCCACTGTGGCTACAGTCACGGGCATTAAGCCTCAACATGGAGGGGGGGACACAGGGAGCACAGAGTGGGCAGGCAGTAGTTCGGAGGGACATTTCCCTCAACGAGGTTCTGATGACCTGAGAATAAGAAAGCATCATGTTGTCCCAACATGTGCTGGGAACCTTAGGGTTTTTTGCTTTGGAAAAGACATGAAAGATGAAGAGACTGTTCTTAGCAACTACTGCAATGACCACACGGCCTGAGCTCAAGCTGGCAGCACAGGAAGGCACTAGTCATTTCCATGCAGACTCCAAGCAGCATTTGTTCTTTTCCCCTAAAAATGGGGGATAATATTGAAGGAACTAGAGAGAGAACTCAGAGAGGCAGCTTGGGGAGTACGGCTTCATCTTCTGGGTACCTGCATCGACATACCTGAGAAGTGAGGACCCCCAGGCCCTGGCTGTTGTGACCTACCTACCACCATTCACTTCACTAGAAACTCAACTGAAGAACTTAAAACCAAGTCCTTTAGAAGCCACTCAAGGGCGTGGTGTGGTAGCCTAGCAGCTAAAGTCCTAAGTCCTGAGTGTGCTGGGATCCTATATGGGTGCCGGTTCTAATTCTGGCAGCTCCACTTCCCAGCCAGTTCCCTGCTTGTGCCCTGGGAAAGCAGTCAAGGACGACTCAAGGCCTTGGGACCCTGCACCTGCGTGGGAGACCCAGAGGAAGTTCCTGACTCATGGCTTTAGATCGGCTCAGCTCTGGCCATTGCGGTCACTTGGGGAATGAATCAGTGGATGGAAGATTTTCTCTCTGTCTCTCCTCCTCTCTGTATATCTGCCTTTCCAATAAAAATAAATCAATCTTTAAAAAAAGAAAGAAAAAAAAAAAAAAAAGGAAGCAAACCGGTAATACAGAGGCCAGCACTGTGGTGTTATCAGTGAAGCCACTGCTTCTGATGATGGCATCCCATATACCATGGGTCTGAGTCCCAGCTGTTCCACTTCTAACGCAGCTTCCTGCTAATGTGCCTGGGAAAACAGTAGAGGATGGCCCAAGTGCTTGGGTCCTTGTATCCAACTGGGAGAGCTGCAAGGAGCTCCAGGCACTTGACTTTAGTGTAGCCCAGCTCCAACTGTTGCAGTCATTTGGGGAGTGAGCCAGTGGAGAGAAGCACTCTCCGTGTAATTCTGCCTTTCAAATAAATATATCTCCAAAATGCTTGTGGCATTTAAAAAATCTGAAGAATAACGTTCTGAAAAATTCACATTTGCACATAGCCTAGGGCTTAGCTTGGTGGAAGACAGTAGGAATCGCACAGTTGCTTCTGGGTTGTCCTAATTTCGGCTAAAACAAAAATAAACTCACCATCACAAACAGGTAGGTTTTTTCTGGCAGGAGCTCACGGGCAGCTGCAGTGTAGGAAAACCGCAGGATGTAGTGTCCCCAGCCACACACTGTAACCCATTGGGGTCTTGCAAAGCCCTCACAAACTAAACAGCATGTGTATATGTGTATGTGTTTAAATGAAAGGCAGCAAGCTTATAAGATAGCTACATGGCAGTGTTTACTCCAAAACCAGATTTGAAAACACAGGACTAATTTAATTATGAATTCCAGTTCAGCTTTTTTGTAACTGCAGAATTACATGTTCACTGCCATTATATAAACATAATTTCTAAATGATCGCTGGAAATAGAAACACAGATTTAAATTGCTGATTCAAAGCTAAATTAACACACTTAAAATGTGTCTTTTTGTGTGTTAAGTTACCTGTAGTGGAGTTAATTACCAGCGTGTGCTTACACCCATGTGCACCCACACACACAGTGTGCATACACCAACATGCATCCCCACATACACACAGCATCATATATACACGTGCACCTGAAACACACACAGCGTGCCTACACCCACATGTACCCACACACACAGCATCATACACACACGTGCACCTGAAACACACACAGTGTGCCTACACCCACATGTACCCACACACACAGCATCATACACACACGTGCACCTGAAACACACACAGTGTGCCTACACCCACATGTACCCACACACACAGAATCATACACACACGGGTACCCCACACACTTATACACACACAGCATGCCTACACCCATGTGCACACACTCAGATCTGTGAGCTCTGCTCCTCTACCCGCCAAGGGCACCATTAAGGAATAGTGGCATCACCTACTTCAAGCACTGGCAATGACATGGCAGTGGATTTTCCTCTGGGGCTTCTGTACCTGCTCCAGGTGTGAGCATAGAAAGGTAAGAAGTACCAAGAGCTTTCGTTTCACAGAAATCTAACGGAATCAATCTCTAGATCCCAGACACAGGTCATGACCACAGGGAAATGCTCACTTCAATATTCAAGACAACACGGCCACCAGCCTCAAATACTCAGTAAGAGATCAGGGAAGTCTACTGGCATATAGGATGGAAGCGTGCCTGTGTGGAGGGCAGCGGCCTCACCTCACGTGCGCAGCACTCCTCTGCAGGATGGCTGCCGTGCGCCGGTTCTGGGCGGTGCAGAGACTTGCCTTCCAGTACACGCGGCAGGCAGAGAGGTCTGCAGAGACAGAAACCTGCCACCCACGCAGCCCGCCGTCACTAATCGGTTCAGGCAGGCTTTCCAGACAACGTTTAGCTCCTGACACCTTTCCCACTCTGAAAGTTGGTCTCACACAGCCAGACCCACCACTGCTACTGTGGAAAACACAGACATCAAACTTCACCTCCCACCTTCTCCACAACCCACAAACCACCCAGCTAACCAATCCCTGCTGACTTGTGGCAGTTGTCTTTATGTCATCTGCCCTGAGACACTCAAGAGAAATGCCCTCCTGCCATTCTAACTTGCGCAGCTCCCACATAGGTGCAATGATCCATGGGCCTGGGCCATCATCCACTGCCTTCCTAGGTCACTAAGCAGGAGCTGGAACGGAAGTGGAATAGCCAGGCCTTGAACCAGCACCATTGTAGGATGCAGCTCCTGCAGGTGGCAGCCAAACCCACTGGATAGAGCACTGATCCTGGGCTTCAGGATTTGATGAGACTCAGTGTGACCTGAGTAACCACTGCCAGTGACCACAAGCATACTCCACTGGCTGTCTCAACACACCTTCCCATCTGGTGGCCCACAGCTACCTTGGAGAGCTCCACGTTTAGGTCACAGAGCTCCTGGCTCACTTCCGGTGTGCACAGCAAATCAGCCAGCGCTTTGTGGAGAAGGCCGTTCAAGGCCCGCAGGCGCACATGGTCTTCCTTTCGGGCCTTCCGAGGGGTTCTGCCCATCAGGGCCTCCAGCCTGGGGGGTTTGTGGGTCTGACAGGAAGCAAGCACAAGGCCAAGGTACTACTACCTCACACACTGATATCACAGGAACACAAAGGTGTGTCAGGATCAATGTGCACCTTGAAGTCTAAAGAGCACAAAATCTGTGCCAATCTGCCTCCATGCCCTCAGCCGAGGGAGCCTGAGCCTGTAAGTGTTGCTAGTGCAAGTGTGCACACAGTCATACTAAGAATGCTAGAATTTGATCAGACAATTTCAACATCAGCAAACATTTCTGAGAGGTCCTTACCCATGTGACCGGTGGCATCCAGTCCCACCCAAACAGACCGCAGGCCCTGGCAGGTACCCTGAACTTACCAAGTGTGGCCCCAATGAGGGTCCGTCATACCAGAATTTCTTCCTAAAAAAATAAAAACAGATGTCGTGTCACAGAGTGAGAGAAAAAAAAAAACAAAAACCCACAAGGACTAGTCAAGGAGGAGAAGATACTGCAGCTATCAAAAGGTAAATCTCAAGCATGGAATTATCTTAATGGGACCTAAAATTCAGTATCCAACTGACAACAGCACAGGCCAGGTCATCAAAGCCAGTCTCAAGCCCGGCTCCAAGCTCTTACTTGCACTCTGCTGCTAAGCTGCAAGCATCCCACTCTGACACATGGCACCTGTAGGCCGCTGCCTGTTTTCTGGGAGTTACATGGCAGCGGGCACCTGGTATGCCTCTCACAACCACCGCACTCCCTGGCACACGCACCACATGATGCAAAACCTCCCTCCCTCTGCCTTTCAACAAATAATAAAAAATATGATACACAAACACATCATACCGCAGAAAAAATAAAGCAGTCAACAGCAAGAGGTACAAACCTACTAACACAGGACCCAAAGGGTAGCTGTGAGGAGATGGCGGGCTCCAGAAAGAGGTTTCTGGAGAAAACAAACATCCCCAATCCAGGAAAACCACCCGGGGAACGCCTCCACAGCTGCAAGGAAACACCCCACCTGGCACTAACACGACTCTCCCATACCCCCACCACAGCCACCCCAACTCCCTGACACCCCCACTGTAACACCCCAACTGTCTGACACCCCCACTCCCCGGCACCCCACCACAGCCGCCCCCACTCCCCGACGCCCACACTCCCCGACACCCCCACCACAGCCGCCTCCACTCTCTGACACCCCCACTCTCCGACACCCCCACTCCCCGGCACCCCACCACAGCCGCCCCCACTCCCCGACGCCCACACTCCCCCACACCCCCACCACAGCCGCCCCCGGGGAACACACTCCCATTACTTGGCTTTCGAGGCGAATTTCTTGAGCAAGTTTTTGCTCCCGCAGCAGACAGCTGTCACACACACGCCTCGGGCCGCGCCGGGGGAGCCAAGCAGCGCCGCGAGCCGGGGACCCAGGCCCCACAGCCCGCGGCCCGGGGCCCACATGCCAGAAACTCCCGGGACCCGGACGGGCGCTGCGGAAATGGCGTCTGCTCGACGTGCGGGGGCGTGGCCCGAACAGCGTGCGGAAAGGCGGCGGGCGTGGCCGATAGGAGAGGGCGTGGCGGCCGTCCGACCCTTGGCATTTGGAAGGGTGGGCCACATGCCAGCGACGGGGTGGCTTGGGAACCGCCATCTCCGTCAGCGCGTGGGTCGAAGGCACAGGGTTTATTGTCAAGCTGGAACCCCTGCGTGCGTGCACACAGGAACGAATGAACGACTTGAGACTGCCCCTCAGTGGACCATAAAACTTGCCCTGATCTCATATCCTCTTGTTTATTGGTCCTTTAAACTTCCAGAACCCAGTGGAGACCTCACAGGGTAGCTGTGCCCCGCCCCACCCCGTCTGTCAGTACACGACCCCGGCAATGCCGCCTCACAGTGGCTCCTGCACTGGGGACCCTGGTGAGCTCTGTCCACGGGGACGGGAGGCTGAGGGCCAGGGCCAGCTCTGTCCACGGGTACAGGATGCTGAGAGCCAGGGCCAGCTCTGTCCACAGGGATGGGAGACTGAGGGCCAGGGCGAGCTCTGTCCATGGGGACGGGATGCTGAGGGTCAGGGCGAGCTCTGACACAGGGACGCGAGGCTGAGTGCTGCAGTCAGCCTGATGGCTGGACACAAGACACAAATTGTGAGAACAAAACGTCCTGAAAATCAACCAGGATATAACCAGGATGGCGACTGAAAATTCATAGCCTGAGTTCAGGGTTTCAATCCAAGCACAGACCCAGCGTTTTAATCAGAATGCAATGTATGCGAGCAGGGGGTTAATGGAGCAGGTTTTGGGGTCACAGTCGGCTAGTGGTGTCCTTTGAGCGCTGTCACCAAGACCCAGCCTATGTTTGTGGTCTAAGGTGCAGAGCACTTGAAGAGACTGGCTTTTCCTGTTCAATCCTCCTCAGGCATGTGACAATGGAGGCAGCACCTCGTTAGGAATGGCAAGGCCTCTGAGAGCGGCCAGCATGCTCTCCACCAAGTCTTCCATCATCTGCCGTCGGGCCTGGTGAGTTGCGCTTCCGATGTGAGGCGTTAGGATGATGTTCTTCAGCGTCAGCAAGGGGTGGTCCCTGAAACACAGGTGGGGGGTGGCTGAACTTCCCGCTCTGGCTTCAGCTTCCCCTGTGCAGAGTCGTGCTAAACTGTACTTCAGGGGGCTGGCACTGTTGAACAGTGCTGGATACCACATGGAGTTCCCAGGCACTCCATTTCCAATCCAGTTCCTTGCTAATGGCTTGGAAGGCAGTAGAGAAAGTCCATGTGCTTGGGCACCTGCACCCATGTAGGAAACCCAGGCCAATTCTGGCCATTGTAGTATTTGGGGAAAGAACCCTGGATGGAATATATCGGTCTTTCCTTCCGTTACTCTGGCTTTCAAATAAACGAATGCCCTACATATTAGTATTAATCACATTAGAAATAACTGAAAAAAATATAACAGTGCTTCAGCTTTCACAGTGATGGCATCATCACATGGCATTCAATTCTGAGGAGACTTGGTGGGAAGCTAATTGGCATCTCACTCATAATGCAAAACAGATCTATCTTACATATGAGAGCCTCTGTTCCAGAAAAGTCACTCTTTTCTCACTAAACTCTATAGTCAGTCCTGGTCAGCTTGGAGATTTAACTTCAAATATTCAGCTGACAAAAAATGTACTCATAGAACAGAAATCAAAGGAGTTGCTCAGTAAATCACAGAATCAAGACATGAGACCTGACAGGCTAGAGCACTGGAAAAAACAAAACTTAAAAATATGGGTGCTGGTTTGTGTCCCAACAGCTCCACTTCCATCCAGCTCTCTGCTTGTGACCTGGGAAAGAAGTAGAGGATGACCCAGGTCTTTGGGACCCTGCACCTGTGTGGGAGACCTGGAAAAAGCTCCTGGCTCCTGGCTTCGGATTGGTGCAGGTCCAACCGTTGCAGCCGCTTGGAGAATGAATCATCAGATGGAAGATCTTCCTCTCTGTCTCTCCTCCTCTCTGTATATCTGGCTTTTCAATAAAAATAAATAAATCTTGAAATAAAAAATAAAACCTTATATAGAAAGGATCCCCAGAGTACCAACCCTGGGTCCACTCACAGCCGCCTTAAGCTCTGTGGAGGTCTGAATGCAGAAGTCTGTCTAGACCCCTTCATGTCAAGTTCCCACCACTCTTTGGGTCATTAAGCCTACAGGTGTCTGAGGACCCTTTCCCTTCATCCAGGAAGGCAGGTGGAGTCTGTGTTCCTGTTACCTGGGCAGGGGTTCTGGATGTGTCACATCTAATGCAGCAGCATGAATAACTCCAGTCTGGAGAGCCTCCACCAGAGCCTCATGGTCAACCAGCAGACCTGCGTGGAAATGAGTCTCTGGTCATCACACACAGGAAGGACTCTGGTCACTTCAGCTACTGTTTTAAACACATCCCAATTTTGTTTGAAAAACATGTCTAACAGAGAACATGTGAGCTTCTTGCTACCCAGTTTATTATATCCAAAACCCAAGTCTGAGCCCATGTGCTAGGCAGAAAGCTCAGCCCTCCCTGTGTGTCACCTGGCTGAATCCTCAGTAACTCAGCAAGATCAATGGTTATGTTACATAAGGATACCAGCCCCTAGATCACAGACGTGCCCCAAGGTCATTCCTGACCTGGGCTGGACTGCCAAAGTGTTTGAGCAGAAGAAACAGGACTCCCATACAGTGGTCTGATGGCTGCATTTACAAATGGTACAAGCACAGACACGAGCCTAAGTTGAAGTGTAACACAGTGGAGATGGGCAGCTGATGCTCAGAAGGAAAGTCCCGCTTCAGCTCTGGTCTGCTGGGAGCCCCGCTCCAACCCTGCTCAGCTCTTCCTTGCTCTAGCTGGCTGCTAGAAGCCCATGAGGGCCTTTTCTGGGACAGCTGTTGCCAGAGCCAGTGTGACTCAACCTCTGTGGGAAGCAAGGTGTTAATTTCCAGAAAGCTCCCAGATCTAGTTTCAATGTGAGCTGTCTTCCTGTTTTGTGGAATTAACAATTTGCATAACATACCCAGGGGTTACTGGGAACACCCGCTTTCACACCCTTGTCTTCTGGCTCCCAGGCCTGTGGGGCACACTGCTCAGAGGTCTGCCCCCAGAACTTGGACCCTTTCTTCCTAAAAGCCACACTGATCCAACCATGAGGTCTGGTGGTAGCACAAGATCTACTATCTTTCAGGGTATGTCAAATACCACATTAACACCAAGACTTGATTGGAAGTGACACTAAGGAAACCCACCCTGTAAATTACTTGTAATTGAGCCCAAGCATCTGAATGATGCCACCCAGCCCACATCTCAAACAACTCAGATCTAAAAACTGCCATACTATAGCATTATCATCATCATCACTTTTAACCTAATACAAGGTTTAAAGCAATGTAAAGGCAAAGTGCCAGTGACATTTCTAAACAGAAGGTGGGTTCCCACAATTTGCCTCCCACCAGTCTAAGGGACTTTGTGGAGCATGGCAGTCATTTGGGAAGACAGACACTCCAGAAAGGCTAGAGGGAGATCTGTATTTTCTTCTAACCACGCTGACCTTCAGGCTGAGGAGGACCCAGTACCTCTGCCAACGTTGACCAGCACTGCTGTTGGCTTCATCAGGGCCAGCTCCCGCCTCCCAATCAGGCCCTGGGTCTGGGGAGTCAGGCTCAGGGCCAGCATCACGAAGTCTGACTGTGGCAGCAGCTCCTCCAGCTTCTCACAGTAAGTGGCCCCAACGGCTTCCTCCTCCTCTGGTGTCCTAGGAGGGAAACAAAGAAAGGAGATCATGTTCCACCTGATCACCCCGAGGGAGTTCCCCAGGAGGAGGGAAGGTCCTGTTGGCCCCACATAGGCCAGATGCTACCCAGGAACTGCTGGAGGTCGTGTGCTCTCAGGAAGGGCCATGTGGCCCATCTTGCCCTACTTTGAGTAAGTCATAAAGACTCTGGTGGCAGGTCCTTCATACGCCCCTGCCAGAAAATAGCCCCGCCCTTGTGTCCACCTGCTAGTATCCCCATGCATCTCTCAGCGACACCCCTGCAATTTCCTGCCTTGTCCAGAGGTCTACCTGTCCTGGCATCCCCACATAAATATTTTGTTCCTAGAACTATCACAGGGTCATATTTGGTTGTTTTTCCAGACTTCACTCCTTGTGCAAATCCTCATACCCACTAACAGTCTTTCATGCTTTCCCTCACTACTCAGCTCTGCTGGTGAGCATTCCTAGGTCCAGTCAGGCAGCTCATGAGGAAAGAGACAGAGACCTGTGCCCTCTTATCCTCTCCCCTCTCCCCCTCTCCTCTCTTCCCTTCCTCTTCTCTCCTCTCCCCTCCCTTCTTGCCTTTTTTTTTTTTAAGATTTATTTTTACTGGAAAGTCAGATATACAGAGAGGGGGAGAAACAGAGAGGAAGATCCTCTGTCCATTGATTCACTCCCCAAGCAGCCACATTGGCCAAAGCTGAGTTGATCTGAAGCCAGGAGCTTCTTCTAGGTTTCCCGAGTGGGTGCAGGGTCCCAACGCTTTGGGCCATCCTTGACTGCTTTCCCAGGCCACAAGCAGGGAGCTGGATGGGAAGTGGAGCAGTCAGGACATGAACTGGTGCTCACATGTGATCCTGGTGCATGCAAGGCAAGGACTTTAGCCACTAGGCTACTGCACCAGGCCCATGCCTCTTCTTCCCTCTCCCCTCCCAATCCCTTCCCTTTCCAGAGTCAGCTGGGCCCCTCTCGACCACCAGGATTCCATCTGTGATCACCTACTCACTGTCTGCCTCTGTGGGCACTCCAGACAGGATCATCCTCTTGCTTACCTTTGCACCTCCAGAGACTGGGCCAGGCCCCAACACCAACCCCACAGAGATGAGCTTCAGTAAAGCAAGAGGCTGCACAAACCCATTAAGGACTCAGGACAAGCAGCAGCATAGGACCCTGCTCTCTGCCTGCCTGGTAACTGCAGGTAAGAAAGGACCTCAACTCCT